CTCAAGTTCCAGCTCGAGGGTTTCAAAACATGGGTTTCAAAACATTCATAATGGGCAGAGGTGACTGAATTTAGATCAGCTCTTAACCTTTTTCTTTACGTGCAGGAAAAATGGCAGCATCAAGGAGAGCCTGGCAGCACTCAGCCACCTAGCAATACAGGAATGGATAAGCAGCCATGTTAACTCTGCCACCTGCGTGCAGCATGTTGATGGAGCTGCTGTTTAAGGCACTCTATAAATTCAGGGAGGCATTGATACCTCAGTTCATAGCTTCGAAATGCTGGCATCTGAAAATGGAACACTAATCTTTGCTTTATTAATGAGAATATAACATCAGGAAGGAACAGAAGAGTGCGTGTGGTGTTCTCTATCTATTGGTAACACCAAAGCCGAAAACACTGTGGTTTAAGGCATTTATCTACAGAAAACCAAAGCAGTGTGGAAGGCAGGGAGTCCTGAGTACCAACAATTGCTCACTTCCCATCACTTATGGTTACTAGATCCCTTACTCAGCTGAGACCATAACCTATGAATGCAAGTGAGGGAAACCATGCAGAGCATTCAAAGCAAAGTCCAAAATTATCTTGTATCCATGTGGCATGACTCAGGAAATGGAGTCAACAGAGCCAGGCACAGAGGAAAAAGAGTAACTCACCAAAGTTCTCCCCACCCCAGATGTCCATGGCACTGTCGTACTTGCCCAGATGGTTGAACCAGGCTTTGTCTATCACGAACAGTCCCCCAGCAATGATGGGAGTCCTGCAGAATGGGTAAGGGAAGAGGGGACACACTATCAAACACTGCTGCAGCACCTGGAGGCACAGAAGCAGCCCTTCCCTTTGCCTCCTCTTCCATCATCAGGACATTACCTACGTATCTACTTCTCACCAAACAAGGACAAAACACCTCACAAAGCATCCGAGCACTTGTTTCAGCTGCCTTGGTATTTTGCTGTCAATCATAAATTGCCTGGCACTTAGTGACTGGCTAATGTACCCATCAGCACAACTCCTACATCCCCAAAGTTCACAGCCCTGATTGTAGGCTTCAGCATCAAAAATGCACTTAGCGCTCAGGGGGTTATTCACTCAGACAGGTTTTTTTCCTGGAGCCAGCCTATTAAGATCACCACTCCACTGGGGAAGGGAAGGCAGAGCCAATTCAGAAGGGCTTTTTAAAAGCCATCACTAGCTGTGTGATCTTTATTTCAAAACTGGGTTATTTTTCATTTTTTGGATTAGCTAAGAAAACTGCACAGAGAAGGTCCATGGAGGAGGGGAGGGTAGACCCAGAAGATAGCTCGAGAAGACTCGCCATTTACTGGCACAAGCTCTGCCTCCATTTAATTACAGACAGTGTGGAAGCCTTAGCATAGGCTTGGTAGGAGCTGGGGTGACTGTTGCACCCTGGTCAGTCTCCACGGTGTCCTGCATCGCAGGACAACCAGGAATTTGAGCCTCCAGGAAGCCAGCAAGAGCTCCTGTTAACAACAGCATCCTAAGGAGAAGTAATGCTTTGCTCCCCTGTGAACTTTCTGAGGCTCTGAGTTCCCCCAGCACTCCTCCATGCCACCCACCCCAGGGCTTCACGGCTGGGGATGCAGACACCAGCACTCGGCTTGCTGTCAGGAGGGATTTTCAGTAGAATGAGGGACTCCCTTCATCCCACAGCATGAGGACAGATGGCATCTCTCCTGTTCAGTTTTGCTATCTCTCCTGCACATCCTGAAATTCTGAGGAGCCTTCAGCAAGGTCCAGAAGAGCAGTGCTGATCTGGAAAGGCTGGACTAGACACCACATTAAGATGGCCGAGGACACTGTCTTATTTTTAAGTAAGAGCTGAGAAAAGTGGGAGTATAGAGCACTGGGTTTTAACCCTAACCATATTCAGCCTCCTTAGCACTACTAAAACACAAATAACAATAAATACAGCCCTTCTGCCTTTGCAGCACCTTCAGGCTTCAATGTTTGGAGGTGAAGCTGTACTGCAAAACCCACATTAGCCAGGAGCTCGTTACAGGTATTAGAAGTTCAGAGCTGTCCTGGAAGGAATATCACACTGCTATGGTGCATGGTGACACACATGAGGTCAGACGAGATGCCTGTCCTACCCCATGATCCTCAGGTGCCTCCTTCCCCCTCTTGACTTACTTAATCGGTTCAGTGGGATCAAGTCTTTTGGCTTTCTGCTCTGTGGAAAGCTGCTCCCATTTGAAATGAAGACTCCAGTCAAAACCTAAAACCAAAGTAGAGAAGTACCATGGGGAAATTAGAAATGGATATGGATTAGGAGGCAATGCAGGTTGCAGAAGCCTCATTTGATGGAGTATTTTCCCTGTTTTCAAGTGACCTAAGCCATGGAGATGTAGGTCTTGGGAGAGGAGTCCAACGACTAACGTATTTTACTACTGCATATGAACAAGAAACAACAAATTGCATTACAATTGCAAGGTCAAGCACTCCAAAGGCAGGAAAAGCCAGAATTAAAGCTGCAGCTGAAACCTCACTTTGTCCCCTCGTGCACACAGATACATGCTCTGATGGATATTGTGTGCTACAAATAGCACAGGCATACTAATAAGCACTACAATCGCATCCTCCATTTGTTGCCTAGACATCCCCCATCTCCTCTTGTCAGCAGCCCAGCTTTCAGTACTGCCCAGGGTGGCTTTGACATGACCCTTCTTTCCTGCTTGACCGCCTTATCCACTGTAGCAAAGACCATTCCTCACGCCATGCTTACCTGTCTCCAAAATAGCATGAAAACAGCCAGTGGGGAGCATTGAACAGTGCTAATGTACTTTTTGCAATGTCGCAGGAGCAAGTGACATGGTGCAGAGCCACCAGCTTCTTGGGCCAGTGCGTGTTCACACCACAGGACAGATGCCCATGGGGCACACATGCAGCTTGGACCTACCTCCTCTGAGGTCTGAGGAAGCTGCCACATATGCAAAAGTGTCCAAGTTGATGATGTCAATAATGGGGCTGACCACTCGGGTGGGATCCTAGAAAGCAGAAGCAAAACAATCCATGACTTCAGATCACACCACTCCAACTGGTCAAGGGATGCTCTAAACTCCTGGAGACACCACGTGGCTGGAAATCTTGGTGTCATTCAAGTTTGTCAGGGACTAGGGCCCATCACGGTCGCCACCTCCTCCTCAGCCATCACATCAGTTCAACCAAGGAATTAATGGCAGCAACACCAAATGACAGAAGTATTGCTGTGAGCCTGGGAAGAGTCTCCTGGAGAGAGGACTGTGTGCTGCTTGGCCACTGAGCTGGCCTCTCTCACCAGCTTTGGCTTCACCTGCAGCCTCTCCCTCCGCAGGCAGTGTGTGCACTCAGTGCCCAGCTCAGTTGGATGCAAAGCTCTGTCTGCCATTTGCAAATTCACCAATGTATTCTCCTTTCAACTCCCTTAAATACTTTTCACTGGATTTCAGAAGGCAAACAAACAAACAGGCAGTTGAAATGACAGAGGCAAAACACAGGCAGTCAAGCAACTTTAACAGGAATTTTCTCAATGTACAAACTAGGGGGATACTGTCAAGAGTTTTGCCAAAGGTATGAAAGGGTTAAAAAAAAGACCTGAATTATTTTAAATAGTTGGTGGTGATTTAATTAACATTTTTTTATGGGCAAAGAGATTATACAAACAGTTATGAACAAAAATATCTACAGGAGGAAGGGACTCTGACAGCTTTGACTGGTCTCTTATCTCCCTTTTTCTTTTCAAAAATCCCGAACTCCAATTATAGCTCAAACTTCAAGCTTTTACCCTCACCAGATCAAATCTTTTCACAGCCAAGCAAAAGAAAGCATCTCAGCTCACACAAGCTTGCTCTCTCAGTTGGAAAAGACTTTGTTTTAGAAATTAGTCCTAACAAAGAAGTATTCAAATGCAGCTGAAGGAAGAAGGAAGAAGCAAGCAAAGGCCATGAGCTAGGAGCTGGACTAGAGCTCAGGTTTTCCAAATGAGCATGACAAATACTTGGTATTTCCATAACAACGTCAAGTCAGGAGTCTTAACATGACTTTCTTCTCAAACATTGCACAGAAAGGGCAAGGTCTGCTGAGCCTACCTACAGCATGGAGAAACTCAAGTCACGCCCACGCACGATGAGCCTTTCAAACCCATCATAGCTGCTGCATAGTGCCCCCCAAACTGCTCAATATACCCAAGCATACTTTAGTTGCCCGAGGGTAGGGAAAAGGTTTTAAGCAGAGCATCTGCTTTGCATGCCAAACATTGAAGGGAAAGGATCCTATCTAGTCACTTAAAACTTGCCCCTCAAGCATCTTACTGGTGAGCACTGTCAGCTAGCTGACACTCATCCCCAATTTCAACTCCACTCCTACTCATTACATGGCACAGCTTCTTGCAAGAAAATTCCCTTTATGCCTTGGTTGAGTGCATTACTGCAAAACGCTAGCCTTCAGCAGTGCAACCTTCTCGCTGCCTCGCTTTCCCTGCCGTGCCATGGGAACATTTAAATCTACTTGGCTTTCATAAGGTCTCTCTGACCCTCAAAAGAAAAGCACAGCATGCTCAAGAGCACAGCACTGTGATTTATTTTGGGTTGAGCAGCAAATCTTATTATAGGCAGCTTCATCTTTCTGTTTTTTTGACACCTTCCCATGCCAGGGCACGTTAATATTAACAACATCTAAATCTTAATCCTCTTTAACATGAAATTCTCAAAAACCTGAGAATTCATTTCTCCAATAAATTTCTCAAACATACCAAACTATGGAACTAAATCAACAGAAAAAAAATTCTGAAAATGGTCGTGAAGACAATGGATACACTTCAGCCTTGGCAAAGGACCTTGAGTCCAGCTTGTCTCCCAGTCTGTACATCATAATCTGGTAATGGACAAAAAGGGCCATGGCTGCTTTTCTGGCCCCACAGGAGCACCAGGCAAGGTGAGAGGGCCAGGCTGCCCTTCATCTGCCCCCCTGCCCCAAGAGAGCACCAAACTGGGTAGGTGGCTGTGCTTGAGTTGGAAGTGGGAGGTCATCATCTCCTGGTTCATCCCAGTGCCATTTGCAAACCCAGTTTTGGGGTGAGCTCATTGAGTCATACTGTAAAAATGCCTTGGGCTGGATAATTACATTTTTAGAAAAGCTATTCAGTTGAAATGCACTGCTAATGGCTTTAGAGATATTTGTTCTGTAAGTAAAAACAAGAGCCCGTGCCCACGCGCTCTCAGTCATACGCTTGTAAACGTGCTGGCGTGAAACACCCACTGTCACTGCCACTTCCTGGGACACGCACCCTCCCAAGCACAGGTCCAAGATCCCCCCTGGACCACTCTGTTCCCCCCACACCTCTTCACTTGCTCTTTGACTTCCTAGTCCTGCTTGTTTCCAAACCCATATGCTGGGCATGCACTGCCCACACCCAAAAGTGAGCGTGGGGCTGGGGAGGGGTGCCATCAGCTGCCAGGAAAGCTCGATGTGGTGCTCAAGGGGCATCTACATGTGTGCCCATGAGGGTGCACAGTGGCACACACAGGCTCTGGCATTTCCCACCACGAAAAGCTGCAGGAATAGCTGCTCTGCCTGAGAAAAGAAAAGAGAAGCAATGCAGGATGGGATGGCTGGTGGTGGAGAGAGCCACTCATGGCTTCTTTGCTTGAAGATTAAATCACATTAGCTCAAAGCAGACTGTTCCTAAGTGTAACACGGTGAGAAAATGCTTTTTCTAGGCAGCTAATCCTTACCGCAGCAGTCGGACAAAGCCATCTCTTTAGCACAGCCTGAAGGTGGCAGCAGTAACATTTCATACACTTCACTGATCAATATTTAAACCCTGATGGAAAGGATGGGTACAGTGGGCCTGGGAAGAAGGAAACTGAGGACCCCCTGCCGTTATCCTGCAGAGTTTATGAGCAGTTAATATGCAACCCAGCAGGTCCCCCACTTGGTTTGCAAATCCTTCAACACTCTCCATAGTAAGTCTCTCTTGCTGCCTTTCGTCTGCCCTGCAGGACACTGGGCAGGGTAAGAGCAGCAGTGCAAGCCTACAGACCACCTTACTTCCAGCCAGAGAAAGACTTAACCCAGAAGAGCTAATCAAAGGCAGTTCATAGAGGTGACACATGCATTTGATGCTATATTCAGACCATGATGCCATGAAACTGCTATGGCGATGTGGCACGTGACATCCACAGGCACCTACCGCACAGGTGCCAAACAGGGGCAGTCCTGGAGCTGCCTGGGAAAGCAGCTCTGCCTGCCTCCTTCCTGTCACCACCACTGCCCTTCTCCTGTCAAAACACATCAGGAGCTCTGCCTGGGAGAGAGGCAATTGCTCTGGACATTCCTCACCAAAACACAGCATGGCCTCAGCAGAGAATGAGGAACACCGGCCTTAAAAAAAGCTCAGAGAAACCACCAATGCAGTAAAGTTTAGTGGTGAATCCCACCCTGGGGCAGGCCAGCTACGATGCTCCAGTGGGGTTTCATAGCACATGTTCTTGTAATTCCACTGGACCTGCGATGAATAACAGGAAAAGGCCATTTTCATTATATTACCATTTATCAGCAGCAATGTGGTCCAGTCTGCAAACCAAGGCTAAGACCTCTCCAGCGCTGGCTGCACTATGAGAATCAGCAGCACTGACTGCCTTCACCCACCACAGAGGGACCTGACCCAGTGCTGTGTTCCCCTTTCCCCTGTGCCATCACTGCTGTGCACAAGGCACAGACAGCCCAGCCAGCACAGATATCACCTATGGAGGTATGAAAAGCAGGATGCCTTAGATAAGGGGCACTGTGAACACCAGCCAAGAAGGTTTCGCCATAATCTAAGCATAAAGGGAAGCCCTGATTTTCCTTTGTTCCTCAGCTACCCCTATTTCAACATAATTCAGTAGTTTTAAAATTACTGACTAATAAATACCAGCAATCACGGGTGTAGCAAGGGTTGGGGAGCAAGGCACAGTGAAGGGAAAGGACCATGCATCTGTGATGGAGCTGAAGGCTTTATCCCCTGCACCGTGCCAGTGGGTCACGAGCACAGAGCTCCCTCTGACTTGAGAGACAAGGCGCTGGGAGCCTCCGTGTGCACGTCTGGCAAGAGAGTTGCTGCCAGCGAAAGGCGACTGTCATTGTCTGCTCCGAAATCAGCAGAATTTAAATCCTATTAAATCAATTTATTAGCACTTAATTTGCATGAAATTAAATTCGGCTCCTATTCAAGGAGCCATCACTCCCTTAAATCATTAGCACTGAGCACTTTACATGGGCCTAATTAAAAACTCTGCTGGAGCACTGCCCACCTATTCCCCTTTCACCACTCAACCTGTGCTTGCCAGTTAGAGCCCACTGCCCCAGGAGGCACCCTATCCCACCCACCCACATGCTTTCCCAGTCACGGAGATAACCTTGCCTGCCTGCTGGGTAGAAGAAAACCAGAGAAGGCCACTTATCACCCCAAAAGCTTGTCGCTTTCTTACTCGGATGCCTGTGTGGAGATGGTTAGGATTGGGTGGTCATGCCCATTGAGAGGGAGGAGGAGGTGGACATCAGCGATGCATTCCCCAAGCTGTGGTCTCTCAGGAGTACTCACCTCTTTGACCCTCTGCAGCAGAGGGAGCAGCCAGTCCTTATTCACCTCGCAGTGACTGTCGAGGAAGGTCAGGACTCCTGCTTGTGCCACATCTGCCCCTCGGATTCGGGACCGGATCAGACCTGTTCAGGGACACACCATGTCAGCTGCCACCCAGTCCACTGGGCAACATCCCCCAGCTCCTCCAGTGTGATCTCCTGCAATTGTGCATCCCCGGGGTTTTGACCCATCTAAATCCCTTAAAACATAGCTCGGGTTCATTGCCTTCTTCCCTGAACTGCAAGGCATACCAACCTTTTCCCAAGGTCACTAAAGCAAATAAACGGCTCCACCTAGATTAAGGATTTATGGCATTTATGCCCATCCTTAATTCGAACAATTATTTCTGCTGTCACCTTCTGGGACAAAACAGGACTTGAAATGCTTCCACAACCCCCTGCAGGTAATAAATCTACTGTAGAACTAAGTCAGCAGGGAAGAGGCCAGCGGAGTTGAGGGTGGGTTTTCTGGGGTAAACCACCTATTTAGACAGGTCCCAACACCCCTCCTGTCTGTGGCTGATGCTCAGGTGAACCGCAACATAAGAAGGGAGGTGGTCTGTTGCCAAACAGGAGGACACAGAGGTTGCTCAAGGGGAGCAAAGCTTCTTGATGAGGGAGAAACAGTGGTAACATGAGGGGAGACAGGGGAAACTAAAGAGAGACAAAAGGGTTTCAGGTAGCAGCTACACATCAGGTCCATGCAGGAGTAGGTCACTAATTTAATATTAAAACTTCTTAGAGGAAAGGGGCCAAGGAACAGCCTCTGAGCAGGAGGGAAAGGGACAGGAGAACGAAGCCTGGAGCAACCCAGTATTTGGAGGTCGTTTTCTGCAGCGCAGGTTGTCCCTGTATCTCTTTCTACAAGTTCTAAGATCTTATGGGTAAGCACGGTCTGCTGTATCCACCCCAGCCTTCCCCAGATCCTGGCAGGTCCTGAAAAACACAGCTTCAGTGACGTGTTGAGTGAGGTAAGCCCTCCAGGATGGGTTCCCAAATCTGACTGCTTTATCGAGTACCAACACCTCCCAGTCCATCCAAGCGGCCTGATGTTAGGGGTGAGCATATATGCACCTCAACAACACAGGATAGAAGGGCAAGAAGGAGCTGTAGACCAATGGAGACATCCCCTACCCTCCTGCCAATGCAGGTATGTCTCTTACACCCCCAGGGGGGTGATGCTGCTCTAACAGCAGATCTGCGGAGCTGAAACCTTCTGCGGAAAAAAGCCACAGACAAGTTCTCTCTGCCTCTCAGTCTCCCCAACCTGATACACACCTGGGCTCATGTTTTTGATTTTCAGTGTGAAAAAACTTCTTTGTTTTTTGTTTTCCAAGACATGAAAGCACCCATTCAGACTATGGGGAGCTGGAAAATGTCTCAAAAGGTTGCCAGCAGCAACCCAGTAGGGCGTACACTCATCCTCCATACAGCCCCTCTAAATCTTTCAAATATAAATCAATTAAAAAAAAATTTCCCACAGAAGCAGCAGGAGCAGATCTCCTCTTTCATTAGAGCAAACATCTTTAAAAATAAGACCTGGGGGCTTTGTTTTGCCTGTTCTAATTTTCTGGCTAATAAGCTACAGCTGAGCCTCATTGGATATCTTAATAGTCCCATCTTTTTCAGCAAAAGGGGGGGAATCCACTTCAACTCCCAGCCCTTTATCACAGCTCCTTTTATCAGGGTCCCCCATCCCCAGGAGCTGCTGACCTCACTCATCGCCCACTCCACGAAGGTTCTTCCCTGCTCCATCACTCTCGCACCTTCCAAAATTTGGTGTTCCCACGTGGGTCACAGGCAGGCAGCTCTTACCTTCTCGCCGTCCATTCCGCAAGCACTTCACCTTGGGGAGCTTGCCCAACAAGCGGCAGTCATCAGCTGGGGAAACACAAAGGGAGCACACATCATTCTCTGCCCTCATGGTGCCTCTGGCAGCAGAAACACTCCCAGAGGAAACTGGGAGCAGGGAGAGGACCCTATCATGGACAGTCCGATGGCTTGTAAGGGCAACAGCACTGCTGGAGCACCACAGCTTTAGGCCTCAGTTCATGCAGTGTAAATCGCAACTGGCAGAGCAGTAGTTTTCATGAAACTACTGTATACCCAGTGGATTTACACCATGAACAGCTGATTTACACTGTAAAGTCAGCATAGAAGAGCTGTGGACAGGGTCAGAATCTGACTTCTGGCACATTAACGCAAATGATTATTTTTGGTAGCTACAAAGCAACACATAAGCCAGCTGATGCAGGAGCCTTCTGAGGTGCCCTGTGAGCCCTCAGTGAGGAAAAAGGGATGGTCAAAGAGAGCTGGGGGCTTCTCATGCCCTGGGCAGCAGCAGCTCCCCCCCACCTCTGCACACCCATGCTGTGACCTCTGCAACCCCTTTATGCCTCTTACCGCTCTGTCTCTTCTCCCTCAGCAGTAAAACCACACACACGTGTGTCCCATCCCTACCACCCATCCCCTGCACCTGCATGCACCTCTGAGCATTTTCATCGCCCCCAGGGATGGGACATCAAAAGACATCACCGTACTGATATCCCTAACAACTCGGGTACAGAGCCAGGTTGTTCTGCACACACCAGGGGAGCAGAAGTGGCAAGGGTTGGCTACCGACCTATTGTCCCAGTCTGAGAGATGTGCTGGAAGCCTGTGTGCAGAACTGCATCTCAGCAAATGAAAAGTCAGTGGGCAGAGAGAGGTGAGAAATGAGACAACTGGGCATGAGATAAAAGCACCAATTGCTTGGGGTGGGTTGCAGGGAGAAAACTGACCGCGTGCGTATAGCATATTATGCAAATACATGCATTTTATGTAAATGCATGCAGACTAGATGCCAGCAGGCTCAGACTATCACAAGAAAGGAGATGTAAGACAGCTGAGAAGCACTGATTTCGAGTAGCTGAGGGGCCACTCTACGTTATGCAGGAAACAGGCTCCTCCCTGCTGCCCCTGGGATGTGCTGAAACCCACCCCTGCTCCTTCTCCCCAGCTTGTGCCACTGGGCATGCTGCAGCAGGGGAGCTGCACTTCTACAAACTTTTCTTCCTTTCAGGAGGACAAGCACTTTGCCTGCTTAGCCAAATAACCAGCATTTACTTCCTTCACCCTTCAAAAAGCCTGCTTTGGTGTAGGCCAGGGCAGCTCAAGCCCTTGGCACCTGCTTCTTCTCTCCATCACAGCCATGCTGCCAGACCTCAGGCTTGCCTAGCATGGCCCCCATGGACTGGACTCACTCCAAAGCTCACCACAATCACTGCAACCCCTTCCCCTGGCTTCAGCAACTCCCCAGGGAGGCATCAATGCCAAGAAGTGGGTCCCATGCTCTCTGAGGCATTGCCTGTTAATGATATCCAAGAGCAAAGCATAGATCCTACTTTTTTTAAACCTCTCTGATTTTTTTTTTCATGTTTCCTAGTAAATGGTTACATTTTGCAGCTCCTTGAAATGTAAGCGGCACAGACCACTCAGCCTAGGTGTATTTTATCATACTTTTTATGCCTGAGACAGTTTTTTTGAGCCCTAACTCTCAGCACCTGTATCTTCCACTCACCCATCTCACCAGGTAAGGTCTTTAGCTAGGGCAGCTTCCTGGAAACCTCCAGGGCTTCAGATACTGACTTCTGCTGGAGATTAGACCCACTGATTTCACTTAAGTTATGCTATTAACCGTGAGAGAATGGCAGGAGGATGTGGGCTGTCTGTGGTGTACAGCATCATTTATGGTGCATCTCAGAAATGGCAACCCATGTGAGAAATCTTCTTTACATGGGTGAAAAATAAAATAAATCAAGAGTTGCTGACCACCTATGTAACAGTATGCAGAACATACGCATACATCAGGAGGGTCAGACTATCATTATCCTGTGCAATTCCAGTGGTGTCAACCCAGAATTGCTCCCAGCTGCAGCTGAAAGCCAGATTAAACACAGCACAGCTGCAGCAGAATACAACCCAGTAAGGATTGGATTCACATCTACTGGGCGTAAAAATGATTTGCCACATGCTTTTCTTGTATTATTTTCATGAGAAGAGGTTTGATCATTTGTAATTTGAATTCTCCACAGGGCAATGCAAACCTGGCACAGCAGGGTTTGCTCTCCACACCTACAGAGCTTTAAATTTCCTTTCGCTTTGACAAACTTTTCCCCTCTCTCTGTATAAATCCCCATCTCTCACAGTTTGGCCCCTTGCTTTTAACATAGAAAGGGTCACTTACGATCATCACTGAAGTCATCCACTAGTATGATTTCATGGACGAGGTGCACTGGGGTGCGGTTCAAGAATGAAGAGAGAAAATCCATGACAGTGCTTGACCAAACCAACAACCCAGCAAACAGGGTGGAAAAGCCTAGGAACCAATCCCTGCGAAAGCACAGAAGACCAGGCTTGGATTTTTATATATATAAAAGGACATCCATAAAGGATATACTAGATAAGACCCAGAAACCACCCCCACCACTCCCCCAGCAACCTACAGTGCCTGGCTATCAGCTGTAGCCTGATCTAAGAGCAAAGCACCCGGTATTCCTGGGAATTAGCTGAGATGCAACCTTACCGCCTTTGTGAGCAAAAGCAGAGTGCCACATAAAGCCAAGGAGAAACAGGCTTTTCAGCAACACGCACATCGCACCAAGTTCCCTAATGGGGCTTACAGCAAAGCTGCTGTCACCCTGCCACCTCTCCCAGGGCTAATGATACGGTGTCCATCGACAGCAGGCCCAACACAGAGAAAATTACCCAGCTCAAACCCATCTTTACAGAGCTCACAGCTGTGGCAGGACAACTCCTGTTTTTATCCGTCAGCTGACTGTGTTTCAGAGACTGCCAAGAAGATAAGAGCAGAGTTGGAGCCCACCTGTTTAATGAGAGAGAGAGGCTAGAGGATGTGGTTCACAGCTCCCTCCAGGTGGACAGACACTGTGAAATGGGGATGAAAGCTACAATCTTCCCTTAAATATGCCAGCAATGGTTTTATTATTATTAAAAAGTCTAGACCTTTTCTTCCCCTTTCAAGCACAGTGCAGAGGTCAGTAGAATTACACGTATGTAAAAAGGTCCCAAAGGGTCAAGGCTGACTACTTGAAGCAGAAACCCCAGGGCATCCCAAAAATCTCTTAAGGGCTTCACTTGGGCTTTGATAATGCCAGTTAGGTGGCACAGGCCATTCCAGAATTTAAACTCCTTTGGCTTCACCCTGAGTGCAGGTCCTTTTTCAAACAGGATTTAAAAGCCCCTCAAATTTTACACCTGAGTCTGTCTTCTGGGCTGAGTAAAAGGCCTGAAAAACCTTCAAACCTATTGCTGGCGTAAGAGGACAGACACTTCTTGAAGCCCCTGACACCTCCAGATCCTTATTTACAGGTTTCTCCAGCCTCTCAGGCTTCCAAAACTCCAGCAAAAAGCCTGGAAGTGTGGAAAACTGCATCCCTGGCCCAGAATCCAGTCAAGAGGGCTCTAAGGGTAGGGACCTTCAGGAGCCACCAGCCCAGCTGGCAGGAACCCAGAGAGTTCTCATGGCATCACCCATGGATATCCGAGAACGTTCAGCCAAAGGGCTGCATTTCTCTGATGAAACCTTGTAGATGAAAAACTGCAAGCCCACCCCACCCAGGAGGGCTTGGAGTATTTATGCCTGTCGTCAGAAGCCTGCTGCCTGCGCTGGTGTACCCCCTACCCACGTGCTGGAACTACAGCCCTTCAGAGAGAGAGAGAAAGAGTTAAGCCAGATTTTTCTGGAAGGAGAACAGGACATTCCAAGGCAGATGCTTGAAACGGATCCTCCCTCCCTGTTTTGTTGGTGGGTTGTTTTTTTTTATTCCCAGCACAAATCCTGAAAAAAGGGGGTTTTATTTCAGACCAGAGTGGGTAAGGCTGGCACCTCCCTTGTGGAGCTCCTCAAAAATCACTTCCAAGAACTACTTCCCCTGGAAACACAATCCCTGCCTCCTCCAGTTTCAGAATCTTGGCAAAAGCCATGATTTCCCCCCCACTTCAGATGCCTGGGGTGTAGAGGAAGAAAAAACCTCTGCCCCCGAAGCAACAGTGATGGTGGGAGTCCTAAGAGCCAGGAGCTGCTGTGGCCACCCCAGCATCACTAAGGTTTGCACTAAGCAAGGTTAGACAACATCACCTCACCAACACTAGCAGCTTGCACAAAGTATTAGAAAAAGTGGCTGAACGCCCCTCCTCCCGCTGGGGCACACAGAGCAATTTAGAAGTGCTGTTCCCACCTGTCAAGTGTTTTTTAATTATTATTATTAATGGGTTTGTTATTTTTAAAAAATCCCCATATGCGAGAGCTGAGTTCAGCAAATTACCGCAGCTGAGCATCAGTACAGAGAGACAGGAGAGCAATATCATGCTCAGTGGAATATTTAACAAGCGCTGATTGCCTAGAAACCTAACTTGGTGAAACCTGCAGGAAAGAAGCAGACTTGTAAAAAAGCCAGCAAAATAAATAAATAACCCGCTGAGAGCAGGAACAGAGGAAGCAGCGGGCAACTTGAATATTCAAAGCCTGCTTCTGCCCAGTCTCCCTTATAGATTTGGCTGCCAGAAGTGCAATGCAGGGCTTAACTCTACAGGAAGGTGGTTGCAAAGGGGCTGATTCTGCTTTTGCTGGCACCAGCAAGAATAACTCAACCAAAATCGCTGCATTCAACTGTAGACTAAGACCTGGGCTCATAGTGGTACTCAGTGCCATTGAGGAATTTACCCCAGGGCACCTCTTATGGAAGAAAATCCAGCATGGACCATTTTCAAGGTGATTGGCTGGGGAGATGGGCAGCCCAGTCCCTGCTCAGCTGCTGGCTCCTGCTGTTCCCAGGTCAAGCAGTTTGCTGCCAACTCCATGCCTTGTCTTGCCACCCCATAAATCAGGGATAATGCTTCCTGAATGCCAGCAATGGCCATCTGTAGGATGCAGAGGGTTGACCAGGGCAAGGGGGAAAAAACATGCTGACTGATGAGGGAAGGACATCTCCAAGGACTGCTCTGGCTCCATGAACCACCATCCTTCCATAGGGTTAATGACAGACCCCAGCACGGGTGACACGGCATCCCCTGGTACTGCGAGCAGCCTCACCCAGCACCATCGCAGCCTTATCGCATCACTTCCCTTGAGGGACTCACTCACTGTTCGATACTTTCCCCAACCCCGAGTGAACAAAGCCCCGGTGAGGGTGGTCCAAAGGCTGGGTCTACCATGGCTTTAAGCGACCTGGTGTCCACTGACCTCAGTGGCCTTTGAGCTCATTATTGCCCTCGCAAGTCTGTGCACAGACACCTGCAAGCCCCAAAACTGCTACTAATCTATGGGTCACATGATACAGGCACAAAGAGACCCACAGCAAAGGCTGCAATGTCACAAACACAGCCCGCTTCCCAACACAGTTGAGAGCAAGCATGCTGGCTTGTCAGCAAAGCCAAACTCACGTCTCCAGTGTGGTCTCTACCTGTGCTCTATTAATCACACAATAACACACCCATGCCGCTGGAAACACAGAAGATTATAAACGACCTTCCTGTGGCACTCCTCAGGGAGGACAAGAAACAGTGGCACCAAATCATGCACGTTTTCAACGTTACAGGGTGCTTTTTTTTTCTTTTTTTTCAGATAGACTACAAAAGCACTTTTAAAATTTCAAAGCTAGCTTTTCTATTACTTGTGCCTTTGCTCAGCTTTGATTTTTTTTTTTATACTTTCTTTATATGTGTGCATGGCTTTTTTTCCCTTTTATATGGGTAAAATCAGAAGACAATTAATATTATAGTGCTTTGAAGTCTCTGTTATTTATAGATTTTTCCCCTGAAATCAAACACAGGTAGATGTACTGCAGTGATGGGCATATTTTAATAAACCAAAACAGCTTTTAAGTTCTGTTGAGCCAGAGATCACAACACTTTCTCCCTTAAACCACCAAAAGACCAGTTACCATCAAAATGAAATCTCACGCCTCTAGTCCAGAAAGTGCTTATGCTTACTCAACCCATTAAAGGCAGTTTCACTGCTGAATTATTTTGAAAAGCTAATATTGAAATTTTCTTTGTTTCAATCGGTTTAGCAAACATTATGCAGATATAGCCACAGATAACTTCACCTTAAATTTTCATCGTAAGGCCCTTTTTCTGTCCTCCTCAACAATTTGTTGAGATCCTTTTCCACTGACCTCTGATCCAGAGGTAAGCACTGGATCAAACAATTTCACCTCCAAACAAATACCAGTGCAAAAGTCATCCTGACATGTAAGACACAGAAAATATATGCAGGGAGGAGTTCAGATCTTCTGACCAAAGGTTGGTATGTTTTCAGTTGTCACCCAGAATACCAGTTGCTTTAGAGAGGTGACTGTGGACATCGACCCTTGGAAACACATGAACCCATTCATTCTCTCCATGGCAATATACTGGGACTTGTTAGGGGAAAATAAACACCAACTTTGGGATTATAATAAAGCATCAAAAGGGCCAAGGGTCACAATTATTGAAATCAGACCGAGAGTGTGGAGAGAAAATGCCCACCAAAATGAACTGCTTCAACAACCCAAAATTGCTAATTACGTAGGAAGAGAGACATCACACCAAGAATAACCATGAGTTTTGATTAGGCTACGGCTTTCGCATTTTATTCTTTCAAATACCCACAAACCTCTTCGAAATTCAAGAGTTCTCTTATGTTAACATCAGAAGGTAAGAGCGCACGGAGGGCTATGTACTTAGTCACCACAAGAGAAGATTAGCAAATTAAGGAAAAAAAAAAAGTCCAGGGTTTAAGCAAAAAGAAGAAAAAAAAAATAGTTAGCACAAAGTGCTAATTATACAGTTTCTGCGCAACACCTGGCTTGTTTTTGCTTCTTTAATTAGACTCGTCTCAGTTATGGCACAGACTCTATATGGTGCTGCTGCTGCCTAAGGAAGAATGTGCATGGCTTTGTCATTTCCCTGTCTCAGATGTGTCTGGATGCAGGTAAGGTAGCAGCACAAGAGGAAGGTGCAAGGTGCTGGCTGTTCAGGAAATCATTTCTCTTACTTACAAGCACTGCAAAATGAAAGGCATGATATTATTCCAGTTAATTAATGATATAAATATTTGATGTGGTTTTCACAGCACTCGCGTCAGGACTTTTGCCAAAGGATGTGCTTTGTTTTGCCAGTGAGAGGTAAATAATTAAGTCTCCTTATTCCTGTTCTGAGCTCCCCAGCTGCAAGTCTGAAGAATAAATAAATGAAGACCACCCAGCAGAGCAAATGGGACTGTCTTACCCTCTGCCCAGCAGGTCATCAGCATGACAGCCTCTTATGCCCCATTCCTGCCCAGCCTGCTCCAGCACTGACTGGTCATCAAGCTCCCAAAACTGCCCCACTGGAGAAAGTCACAGCATGGTGGTCCTTGATGGTCTAGGAGCAGAGCATCACCCCAAGCTGCCTGCAGCTCTGCCTCCCACTGTGTTTCTCTCCCTGCCGCTCTCAGGGATGGGGCATGCACCAAGCCTTGCGCCCCATGGACCTCAGTAGGGAATGCCACAGGGCATCAAGCCCTGAAGGCACAATTGGTCCCCCAGCAGTGGCCACATGTCAGCATGTGAGCATGCCAATGACTGCAGAGGAGGGACAGCAAAGGAAAGGGGATGATATTCTCATAAGCAAGCCATGGAGCGGGTCTCCCTAATTGCACAGGGTTACATGACAGGAAGGCACCCATCGCTGTTGAGAACCCCAGCACCCAGCCAGGCCCCAGATGATGAGAAGCGCATTGCCTTTCCCAGCCATGCTGCTCCTTCCCCTCCAGTGACTGCTGTGGCCTTGGGGATATCTGTAAGCTCTCCCTCTGGAGGAGCTGGGCAGCTAGAGATGGACAATGAGCTGGATTCCCTTCCTAAATAAATCCAGGTTAGCACAGGATGAAAAGAGAAGAAAGAGGAAATTGGTTAGTTGTTTGGAATTTTTTTTTTAATGCTTCAGTATTGCTCATTCTCTCCTTGGGTTTATTCACATGGTCCCATCCCCATACTGTTGAGGACTCTCACCATCTTTGGCATCTTTAATGCACAGAGTCTTGGAGCTTGAAATACATGAAACTGAACCACAGGGGGGTAAGAAACTTGCCCAAAGAAATCCAAAAAGTGAGTGGCTGAAACAACCCAATGGTAGTTTCTTCACTGCCTGCATAGTGAAAAAAAAAAAAATCTTAAGAGCTACTTTGCTATTCACCATCTCCTCTTTTGTGGCCTCCTTGTCCCTTTCTCATGACATCCATTCCCTACTACCTGGACGCTTATACGTATTCACAAGCATAGTTACATACACATTTATAAGCGCTGACTACATCATTTGCAGAGATTTGGGTAATTGATTCATTTATCTTTTTGTTTTTTCCTTCCAGCTGGCAAATGGTCAGAGTAAAGATCATGGAACTTTTAAATGAATTCATTATTCAACACAGTCCACTAGCTTTTCTCAATAGCTCCGACGACGCAAATTGTTCATAAACGAACTGTCACAAACAGTCGCAACGTGACTTGCGTAAACGGTGCTGTGGAGGCCATGTGTTGGTGCCTCAGCTTCACGAGTCAGAGCACTTGCATCCTCACCAAGAGCCAAACACAACGCACTCTGTCTGCAGTGCAGCTCAGCCTCAGCACTCTGTGAGCATTAAAGCCCTCAAAATTCAAACTACCTGTATGTCTAACCTTGCTGTCATTGCAATGAACAGTTCTCTAATGAAGGGATATATAGGGGATCAAGGTATAAGAGCTCTATCATGGGTATAACTTCTCCCATGTGACAGCAACACTCATGATCACACCTGGCAGGACAAACAAGTGCTGAGTAATTGGGAAAAATGAGATTAAAGCCCATCTCTGCACTTTACTTGTTATAACCATTCTATATCTCAGGTACTAAAAGGCTGCACTTGGCTTTGCCTTGCCATCTCTGTTACAATGGGTTCTGGAGAATGGTAAACATATGCAAGGCACTGTAAAGATGAAAGAGAAGGTCCAGGATCAAGGAACTGGTACACAGCACTAAGAGTCCGTGCTATGCACACCCGAAATCCATACACCCTAGAGAGAGGAAGCAGTGACAGATTAAGTGTGAAGGAGATGGGATTAGGCATGAAACCATAAAGCAAAGCGGGAATTCAATTTCAGGACTGTCAAATTCACTTGTGGCACTGGGTGCATTCACCTGAGGAAGGATGCTGTTTTCAGAGAAAAGCTCAGCAAGGATATGATGGTGAACAGGGCACAGCTGATGTCTTCCCCCGGTCTGACCAGTATCGACAATGGCAAGAGTTCCCTAAGGATGCCAGGGTTTAACTGACAAGGCTCCCAATAGGGCAGAAACCTTCACTGTGTGGGCATGAGACACACCTGCAAACACTTATTACTGGAACAGAGCAGAGCGCACCCAAGCTCACTACAGAGGAACCCACCAGCTGAGACCTGGAGATAGACCCCCTTGAAGGTCACTAAAACTTCCTGCAAGAGAACTTGAAGATTCACGACACATATTCAGATTAAATGCTGATTTCCAAAACCTGTGGTGAAAATGAAGCTTTTAGTCTATCCACTACAGCAAAACACAGCCAAGAACAAAGCAACAAATGAAGGAATGGCCTCATGCTCACAGTGCTGCACTGTGTATCAAAAGGAGTACAGAAACTGTCCTTGAAAATCTAGTCTGCATGCGCACCATTAGGGCTTCGCAATTAGTAAGCCTTTCTGCACTCGATGGGTCACTGGAGAAGCTCAAACAGCAGTAGCAGAGCAAACATCTGCAGAATAATAGCTGTCCCTAGAGGACTGGGACAAAATACAGCTGAGCACTGATATCCAGCTGGATATAAAGCCTCTTATCCCAGACTCTGTCTAATCTGCTGCTGCTCCCTCAAGAGTGCTCCGTGCTAGACTCTGCAAAGGGAGCACAGCTACATACTTTCCTGAGCATCCTACTGTAAAGCCTACTTCTCAGAGACCAGCTTTCATGCTAATTTCTCCCAGTAATCATGTGAGACCATAGCTGGTAGGTCTGGTCCCATTGCTGCGGTGAGTGCAAACAGATTCTGCCTTGATTCATTAAAATCTCCAGCCCGCTCACCCCTTTGTAGGAGCATTTATAAATAAGAGCATTTCCAGCAGACTGGGAGCTCTTACCTCCGAATGGTCCTTAGCAGGGTCGACCTGGCCTCGTTGTGGAAGGTGATGATGACGCTGGTTGGTGAGAGGTCCTGGCGATAGTGCAAAGTCATACACCTGGGGAGAGAGAAAGAAAAAAAGGACGTTCAGGTGCTGGAATTCAAAGTGGGCACTCAATTCTTTAACATGGGCAGCAGAGTCCATCAGTAGATGGTCTTCCAGCCACTATTAAAAAAAAAAATCATTTTTCTGCGTGAATCCTTTCTGAAGGAGTCCATAAACTGCCAAGTAAGTCACTGAGGATTAAAGTAGCAAAAATGAGCTTAACTGTCATTAATAGGAAGGGATGAGAAAGGAGACACCCAGCTTGCAGTCATGTTTTCTAACCTTTGCTTCCCAGCTAGCACACCCTTCTGGTGCCACCAGCCTTCCCAGCAACAGGCAGTGGGAATATAAAGGCCTTCCCTTTTTGTATTATTTAGGGCAACACCACCTTCAGTGAAGATACTCCTCACTGACGTAAGCACAGTGGGGTCAGAAACAGGTCCTTCATGCCAAAGGCAAGGCACAGGTGAGGTACTTGCAGAAGGGCAGCTGCAAGTCTTATGCTGCCTTGGTGGCTTTGTAAGCTTCACGGTGCTTTCAGTGTCATTCCAGAAGTACTGGGTTACTGTGCTGGTTTTTTTCATTCTTAAATTGAGTTAGGGGCCTGAGCACTCTCTCACTCACCCAGATGGCAGCATCAGCAGAGGTAGGTGCATCATTGCAGCTTCAGCTCTGAGCCACCTCGCTCCCACCTTCCTTAGCTGCAAGGCAAGCCAACTCCTGTTTCTAAATTGATTGTTTCCTTATTCATTCTGCCTTAATGGCATCACTTGACTACAGGGAAGATTGGGATTTAACACTTTCCAAGCCAGCCTGCAGAAGGTGAAAACCCACAGCTTCAACCACAGCCCCTGCTGCCTCTTTCCCAGGAGGAAATGTCATAGACTCTGCAATTACTTTGACCTTTAGCTGATGACATCTGTGGCTTTTATAGACTGACACCAACATGTTCCTAGCTCAGAAAATCCAGATAGACCTCTTATACCTGTGTTGCTTTTTCCAGTTCCCTGTTAGCCCCTGTGATGGCTTTAAGATGACACAGCAGTGATAGAAAGGTACTCTGCACCCAGTCTGAGGAGCTTCCCATCACAGCCATCATGTCCCTTCCCATCCTTACACCATTCTGCTCTTGTATCACTGCCCAGGTGCTAACACTCCCATCCTCAAATGGTAGGATGGGAACTCAAATGACACGAAAGAGAATTGAGCAACCACTCTTTCAACAAACCATTAGTTTTTCTCCCCCAAATCTCTGGACCATGGTAACTGCAAGGTAAAGTAAAAACAGATGGAAAAATTACGGTGGGGATGGGGAGGAGAAAGCAAGTAACAGTAGCCAAATATTGCTGGTTTATGCTATCAGCAAGGCATGTTGCACCTCAGAAATCCCAAAATGCTTGAGATATTCTTTTTAATGTTAATTAAAATGTATTCTTTTCATTTTGAAATTGCATTTCTGATTATTTACAAATTGACCTAAAAGAAAGGAAAAAAGAATGAGCAACAGGTGAAATATTTCCAAAGGTAAGAAAAAAAAATGACATCTTGGGTGGGACAAAATATTTGCAAGCTCACACTAAATTGGTTGCTGTCTTCTCTCATCAAAACCTTTCCCAAATCCTGCCTCAACTTGACCAAAGCTGATTTCTCATTACTACCCTGTTCTTTCAGCATAGTTACCAATGCCCAAAATTCATCATTCAACCAATTCTAATTTTAGGTCCATCCTCAAAGGACACTAAAGTTGCACGGCCACTCTGCATGCAGGAGAAAATTCAGTGACATTGCCTTGTGTGACAACACCCTCATTCATCAGTTACATCTCATGGATGCCAAAATCAGAGGATTTCTGAATTACTAAACAGCACCAGGTCATGCCCTGAGCTGCTCGACTGGGTCACTGTGGCCCCTTGCATCATCAAGTAACCACCTCCAACTGTGCTTTCCCAACTACCTGGTATGGTGAGAAAGAAGCTGCTGTGGCTTCTCAGGGACTGTTTTGCCATGCTCAGACTCAGCTCTTGCTTGCTTTGTGGAACTGCAGGGACAGACTATGATGATTGCTCTCCCTGTGCTATTTATACAGCATTATCTCCTAACCGTTCCCAGATGCGTGACCTTCCACCCACTTCCAGTGTGGCACCAGGAGAGGTTGTGTAGAGCAAACAAGGGAAGCTATTTCTGGAAAGAGGGTGGAAAATACAAAGTCATCAATACTTTAATCATGTTATTACAATAGTTAAGAAGCTAATAAATAAAGCAGCAGCGGATGCGTGCTGTATCACCCACCAGTGGGAGTGACAGGGATATTGCATGCTGGCTGAGCCTGCCAGCACTGTGACGGAGGCTTCTCGTGCATGACAGCAACTTGATTTTAAGACTCCAGATGTCTACGCACCCAGTCAGCCTAATTAGACAACACACATGAGAAAAACACTAAAAAATTGCATACAAGCACCTCCAGAGCTTGGTCACTGGCTCTGTGACTCACCCCTGACTTCTGCCTAATGAGGCTCACCGCATCTCAAAGATGGAACTGATGATCGTATTGCTGCTACAGCTGGCAGCACCCCCAGCCTTGCTTTGCCTCTGTGACCAGCATTGCACCAAAGGTGGGACTCATTTCCCCAAAAAACAGCCCATGAAGAGTTAAGCTGAGCTGCTGCATCTGCCTGCCCTCCTCTGGGGTCCCCATATGGTCCTGACTCTGCCCTTGCCCAGGATTTTAACCCCAGGCCTTCCTTCAGAAGCCCTCTCAAACTTTCCTCCAGTTGGTCCCGTATTTTTTTTCCCTTTCCTCCACCATGTAACTGCAGCTAAACATCCTGCCTCCCCAGAAGGCAGATTTCAGTTGAAGTTGTTGACTACAAGTGTTTTTTTGGCACTTGCTTGGGTAATAAAAACCACAGCTTGGAAAAGCACTAAATCCGGCATGTCCAGAATTATTTTGTGTGACAATTACATCTGGGGTAATTTCAATTTAATACCTCACTGCAAGTGAAAATTGCAGCATGCAGCCCTAAAATTGCTGTAATAATGAAAATAAACCCACTAAGAGCTGCCCGTGCTACCTCAGGCTGTCACTGGATAAACGTTTTGTGCAGCTTATGGAATTTCATAGGTCACCCAATTGCCAACAAGAAAAAAAAACAACAACAAAAAAGCAAAACCACCACCTACAACATTTTCAGGAAACCAATGAAATTTTGAGGGTTGTTTGTTGCTTCTTTTTTAAATATTGTTCCAAAAAAAAGGGGGGAAAAAAACTCGTACTGCATTGCTTATTGTTGCAGTGTGTTGAAACTCACAGGCTGAAGTCATTTAAAGTTCCCTACTTTGAAACTTTGCAGCAGGACTGGAATGCTGCCAGACTGAAGCGGCTGCAACGTGGGCTGCTCCACCAGCTCACAGCATCTGGGGGACCAAAACAAGACAGAAGCAAGACTGGCCTGCCCTAAAAATCCCAGCGAGAGCACCCAGCCAGTGAAACAATTATTATTTCCCCCTGCACGCACAGAAGTCAAACTTTCATTTGATGTTAAGTTTGTCTTTTCTGTTTTAAGGTTATTTGCAATTCAAATTTGAAATAATTTCAGTATGAGAAAGTTATGAGAGAGGCATTCTGGCTGCAGACACCTTAGGAATCGCTCTTGGAAAATCCCAGCCTAGCCTGGCTGCTTGCTGTACTTGCTTCAGGGTGGAAGGAGCAGCACATCCCATCTGTGTGTTCCCAAAATGCCGCTAAGAGCTCAGGAATTAACTATGGCACACCCATATGTGGGGACAGGGAACGGACGGCTGGAACCCTACACTCATCACAGGAATCACAAAAGCCTCTCACAAACACTCCAGTGTTCCTCACAGGTCTTTGAAGTCTCTTGCTCCAAAGTTTTTCTTGGCTTGCTTCCACCCTTGTGCTCCTGGTGAGCTATGAAATATCACACCCTGGTGGCTTCTGCACACAGCAACCCTTGCACCCCTGCAAGTCCTCCTGATGGGGTAATGCATGCCCATTCCCAGGGCATTTCAACCCATCGTACATTTTAAATGGCAGACTTTACCCACAGTGCCCCGCACCGAACCAAAGTCCACCTTGGAAACGCCACTACACAGCACAGTGGTAAAGACTAATGGTGTGAACAGAGAGGGACCCTGTTCCTCAGCCGCTCCTGGTCCACCCCTGAGTTCATCCAGAGCATGTTTTACCCTTGACATTTGCCATCATGTGCCCACAGGGTTGTGGCGTGTCTCCTGAAACCTACCTCTCATGCTCACTCTT